CTGTACTTTCTTCCCATGAAAAAGTGCATCACAGAAATTGAAAATGAAGTGAGTTATGGTCGCTGAAAGCCCAAAAACTCGCTTTTGCACGGAAAAATGTTCGAACGGGACAATTTTTTGAAAAAGGGTCAATCACTAAACTTTTTATACTGTTTTGATAGAGAAATATTTGAAGTTTCTGAAACTTTTTACAGCTTTCCAAAATGTCGCATACGAAAGATATTATGGGCCTTCAAAGTTGAAGGTGCCTTCTTAGAATTTTGGGTTTTCCACTTCTAACAGAAGTACTTTCCGGAGAGTTAGGCAATCCTTGTAGTTTTCTGAAAGCGCACCTCAGGCACAGTCAAAATCTACCTCAACAAGTCAAAAAAAGTACGTCCCAAGAAAGTTATTCCCCTCTAAAATTTTTTCTTCGCCGCGTCCCGTTCTTCCAGCGCCCGGGTGATACCTGCCGCGCTCCAAGGCCGACGCGACGACGCGCAGACGCTTTCTGGCGCAACGGATTCATGTCTAGCACTCTTATTAACAAAAACAGGGGGTCGCAACTGGACCCCTCGAGAGCTAGGGGGTCGCAAAAATCCCGAAAATGTTCGAACGTGACGGTTGACCCTGGTTGTGACCCATTCTAATTTGTTCGAGCTTCTTGAATGGGCGGTGTTTTTGCAATACTATGAGTATTGGTATTTCGATCTCATCACTGGCATAGGAAGTTATTCAACCGCTAGTTTACGCTGAGGGCTGATAATAAACAGGCCCAAGTAATTGTATTAGCTACCTAAAGCTCATTCAGCCTCTAGGCTTTGTTAGTTCCAAGGAGAATGGTGTTTTTTGGTATTGACGAGCTACGAGAAATGTTTTTCCATCTGATTTCCTCAATGCCATCAGTCGAATCCATTGAATGCATTATTTTACTCAATGCAACAGCCTTTCACCGATGCCTATGTCGACATGCGCGCGATAGCGGGGTGGGCAAAACTGGTAAAAGAAAAATGCAGCTGCTGCACCTCACTTTGCAAGGCCCTGGCACTCTTGTCGTTTAGATTACGCGCCTGGGAATACCGCATATTTGATTTTCTCCTGGGGGTTTGTCCTACAGCCCGAAGGGAATTCGTCTGCACGACCTGTGGCTGTGCCTTGGAACCCCTCATCAGTCGTTCCACTGGATCACTTACAGTCGTTCGTTCCACTGGATCACCCATCACTTGTGTTCCTATCCAGCCCACTCAGAACCAACTTTTCACCGATACTGTAAACGGCAGTGGTAGCCATGCATATTTTGACCTTCCTTATCAGCTCTTGTCAGTAGTTATCACTTTGGAATACCCACCATCTTTGTCTCCATCCAGCCCACTATACCCACGTCATAACCTACTTCATACCGTTACTGTAAAGGGCGACGAAATTGGTGGAAGCAATATTTTGACCTTCCTTATGAGCTCTCATCAGTAGTTATCACTATGGATCACCCGCCATCTTTACATCTGTCCACCCAATATAACACTTATGAAATCCATAGTCCCATATTGCTGCAACACGTGCTATGAATTTCGTGACACACAGTCACAAACAGACAGACATAGCATCCAAATATAGTAGGGATTTCTTGCTGTGGTAGGCCAACCTCAACCCTTGCAAAAACTTCACCATGGTCTTCACATAACAGGCAACCTGAATTTCTCCAAAAAACATCTGGATGATTCTCTCGTGTAGAGAGTTCCAGTTCAAGTGCATTATTAATATCAACCAGTTTTGCTCCGCCCGCTATCGCGCGCATGTCAACATAGGCTTCTGTGAAACAGAGTATAGCGGGGCTGTTGTATTGAGAAACATACTGCTTTCAATTGATTTTACTGATGGTATTAAGGAAAGCAGATGATAAAGCAGTAATTTCTCATAGCTCAATACCAATAAACATCCATCATTTTTCTAGAACTAACAAAGTCTAGCAGCCGAATGACCTTTGGATAACTAATACAATTACTTGGGCTGCTTATTATCACCCCTCACCGTAAACATCTACCATGCTTGGATACTGGGATAGTTTAGCGGTCTAATAACTTCTTTTACCGGTGATGCGATAGAATTACCAATTTATCGTATTTCCACAGACACCGACCATCTTAGGAAGCTCGGGCAGATTAGCGGTCGAATGGATCACGACTACATCGCAAAAAAGATGTTTTCTTATCCCACATCTGGATAAGAACTTCAGTACATTTGCTTTGTATCGCTCCTTATCAGCCCCTATCAGCCGTTATCACTTTTTGGTCCCCATCAAATATGTTCCCGTCCCACCCCCTATATCATATCTGCAAAGCAACGCCTCAATGCTGCTGGGCCCTGCGCTGTGAATTTCGTGACATGTGCGTTCGAACGCTTCTTATCAGCCCCTATCAGCTGTTATCACTTTCTGGTCCCCATCAGATATGTTCCCGTCCCACCCCCTATATCATATCTGCAAGGCAACGCCTCAATGCTGCTATCTGCAAGGCAACGCCTCAATGCTGCTGGGCCCTGCGCTGTGAATTTCGTGACATGTGCGTTCGAACGCTTCTTATCAGCCCCTATCAGCCGTAACCACTTTTCTGGTCCCCATCAAGATATGTTCCCATTCCAACCCCTATATCATATCTCAAAATCAACCTATGGCGACAGCTGGTGGGCGCGCTATGAATTTCCGGTCAGACAGACAAACACACACCGCACAACCGCTTAGCGGATTATATATAGTTAGATCGTCGAAAAAAGGTTACTTTCATGCAAAGCTTCTTTCTTTGTCGTGTCATGATATTCCTGGACGAACATTTTCTACATGCTCACCTGAGTTCATAGAGATTCACTTCCAGCCCGGACCAGGGTCAACCCTGCGTTGCGCAAATTCCAAAATTTTTACGACCCCCTTCCTTTTCGGAGGGTATCGGTACGACCCCCCCCCTATTAACTATTATGTCTTTCACATAATTTAATGCTCATCATTGATGTGTGGGCAGTCACCAACATGAGAGAAGTGGTGGACCGTGGTCAATCCGCGCGCTCTGTCTCGCTCAGAGGAGGGAATCGAGGCAACATGAAGTTTTATTCATTAAATAGAAGGAATTTCCAAATTTTTGCGTAAACCAATACATCATTTAATCGTAAAGATTTCTACTTTCAGAAACCTACCAAGTTTTTTTTCGATCTCTCAATTTCCTTATTTTATAATCCACCTAAAAATTTTCCAGCGATCATTTTTTCAAAAAATAGTCCCGTTGTTTCCGTTTTTTCCACCATTTATTTTTTTCAAGCCCTTTTCCTGGACCAACGACTATGCAGTCTTCAAAGGGCCCATAACTTCCCGTTAAGATGGGAAGCGGTAAAGATTGTTAGAATTCAGTCGAAGAGTGCTTTCATATCACTTGGTGAAATTTTCTTTGCCTCAATTTTCCTAAGGGGTCTATAGAATCTAATTCAGCAAGTTCGCTGCACTTTGTTCCGCTTAGGTTTAATTTGAAAGCATCGAAATTTTATTTGGAAGTTTGTCTGCGCACGGCCACTGACAGAGAAGGCGTTCATGAAAAAACGTCTTCTCTGTCAGTGGTCGAGTATACGCCGTGCACCCGTCTGTGGATACAAGTCGCACTCGCACTGGAAAGTCTCAGCCTCCTGAGAGAAGAAGGTGTTAGTATCCTGATTGAGTTGCATTGTACTGTTATATGGCACTCTTGTTTCACTTTCCCATGAACTGCTCTACACTTTGTTCTCCTTGGGATTTCAGGAATGTTCGATCATCGAAGACAGACCATGTTTTTGCACTACGCTGTAACAAAGTTTTTGGCTATTGTAATCTTGATCTATGCTGTCGAGCGAAAGCGCCGTCCGTGTATTAAGGATAATAATGGCTGATAGTGAGACTTATAATGCTCTGCATGCTCTAATGCTCCCATGGAGCTCTTGTCTGTGTGACTCTCCGACAGCTGCACGGTGCAGAGCTCCTGGAGAACATTAGAGCGTGAAGTGCACACTGCACTTTTCAAGCCGTCTTGCAGCCCGTCTCTCTGGATACGACCCCCTCCCTTTTCGTTCGGCCGAATACGACCCCCTCGTTGTTCTTTGCGCAACGGGCGGTTGACCCTGGCCCGGACATGCCTGAATGAGTCGTATGACTTTGTTACCTTTTTGCGGAGATACCAAGAACTCACGGCTCTTCGTACTAGCAGAAAACAGCATAATAGGAATAAGCTTGGCTGTTGGTGTTGCACAGCTTCACTGCGCAGCCGACACTCGCCGTTTTCGCATTTTCCATCTCGAACGGAATAAACATTCAGTTGAACATAAACAGATGAGGTGAGTGACATGTTCTATAAACTTGGCATGACAAATGTTTGAGTGGCCTTCATACAAGGGCTCGAAAGGTAACTCGTCGTACACGACAAGAAAGTCCCTCAGGTCTCCATGACCTTTATGAAATGTTATTGCAATGCCGACCACAAGTCTCCATTCCAAATCTGCTAAACGATTTTCCAAATGAAGTTATGAAATGGAAGAGCGCAGTGATAGTGGTTCGGATCTCAGGCGAGAACTCATGGAACCGAGTCTTTAGGGAGTTCACTTCCTTGCTCTCATCGTAAACCTTTCTAACACTTTTCACTTGTTATTTTAACGAACTTCGTAGGCTCTGTCTCCATTGCTGATGTCGACTAACTTTCAGGAAACATCTTTCTAGCCCACGATGTATTGTTTGCATGGCTTTGGCTATCGTCTTATTCTCAGGCCATGTTTCAGTGGCATAACACATTGCTGGTAACACTGAAGCATTAAATATAGAGGCTCTGAGGTCGGGATCTTTCATTTGGTCCGTTACTTCTCGAATCGTTCCAAAGGCTGCCCATGCAGCGCGCCTCCTTCGGTTTATTTCAGGAGTAATATTGTTCGTCATGTTCAGCTCTTTACACGTAGGTTTCTACTCTCTCTAGAGCTTTTCCCGCTAGTTTTACTGTACCTGTATCACACCACTGATTCACCATCATTTGCGTTTTTGACATGTTCATTTCCAAGCCGATCTTCAGGCCTTCCACATTGAGTTCGTTGACCATTTCTTCCATTTCGATTGTGTTGTTAGATATCAATACGATATCATCAGCAAAACGGAGGTTATTCATTCTTTTCCCATTGATGAGGCATCCTTTGTCTTTGTCTTCCCAATTAAGGTTTGACATTGCGTACTGTAATGCAGCCGTGAATTATAGTTGGGGCATACGCGTATCACTGGCGTACTCCTGTGTCTGAACTAAGGATCTTATCTTATCGCTCGAGACAGGCCTGAGTAGTTGGTTGTTGTATTTGAGAAGCAGTGGTGATACGAGTAGGCAGTGGGATTCGGTATGGAGACAAAGAGAAAACTGGCGCTCCAGCCTCCGGCTTGTATGAGGGAATTCAGAACAGCATTGACCTCCACAGAATCGAATGCTTTTTTATAGCCAACAAAGACAAGGACTAATGGAGGGTGATACTCGTGATCCTTTCTTCTATTTCCGCATCAGAGAAGACTCAAAAAGTAGGGCGTCCCATGTGAAGAAGACAATCCAATAATACATATGTTCAATCAACCTCCAGCAGTACCTCTTTCGAAAGTTGTCCCGTAAAATTTTCTAGGCAAAGCTCTCAGTATGGAATGCTTCCGCAAAGATTACTTGATGCTTACACTGCATAATTTTCATATGCAATATCTTCTTATTTACGGCGTTGCATTAATTTAATCAGATTTATAGGCAGTGAGAAAACGCACAAACAAAAAGTCGAACAAACAGGGATTCGTATGATTATGTCGTTTTTCTTGTGCTTTGCTTCATTCGTTGCGCTCTGAATTAAAAGCGTCGTCATCAGCAGCCGGCGGGGCGCGCGGCGCGCGCGCCGGGGCGGCCGCGGCGCCAGGCGGCTACAAATTGTAAGTGGCCTACTTCTCTGTCGAAAACACTTTGTTGCAATTGGGTTTTATATAGGTGTAAATCTACTGTGCAACGGGGGCTGGCATAATGGTGAGGCGACGTGAGGCGTATGTGACGCTGGGGACGTACCCGTGCCAGAGTGCCTACCACAGCTCTTGGTTCGCCGCTCGCCCAACGGGCGCCTACACTGGAGAGTCCTTTTGTTGGCCCAACTGGCCTGAATGAAGACAGTAGCTTCAAGGATATTAATCAGCCCGAGCGGTGGTCTCTCTTAAATTGTCCACTTTAGTAGTATCAATGGAAGCATGATGTTTGTTGAAATGATACCGGTTTTTGCAACACATAAATCGTCCAGATGAGCTACGATTTGGAATTTCCAAAGAGGAACGATTGTGTGCGATCTTATTTTGAGCGATTTTCCTTGACCGCTGCGTCACCTATCACCCCTATTTCGATTCCCGATGTCGACCAGTTTAGCGTACTATCTGGTTTCAACTCTCCTCTTAGTGAACACCACAAGATGCACATCATACGTAGCATGAATTTTGAAAACTTGTATCAAAAAAGGAAATTTCAGGAGAGCATGCGTCCCAATTTGCAGACGCGGGAAGTGCACGACTCTGTGTCGACCTTGAGCTACCTATTTTCCGTCTATCTTGGCGGACATTTTGCAAAAATAAAGATTCTTATGCAGATAAAAGTTGTGTGGCTAAGTTTTGCAACAATTCAGGAAAGATTGTTTTGCGTGATGTCTACAAGAAAACAACCATAGGCAGAGCAGAGCAAATCTCGTGCATATTCTGGGATTGAAGGCACATTCCATGAATGTCTGGATGTCAGGTAAAGCAGTTGAAAATGAAAATAGTTGCGATGTGGACTGCCAGTGAAGAAAAAAAAAGAAAAAATTGCGCGTGGAAAAATTGGGTGCGGCGGACAGGGGCACGGGCGAAATCTAAACACCTTCCCTCAGTTTCGGGATGTGAGTTCAATGGTACCCTACGCTGGTGCACTTTTGTAGAGCATTCCAAGACATTGCGTTCCTATGCTGTCTTGTCTTTATGCTTTCAAGACCTTCAAAACATCCCACTCGGGTGAACGTGGAACATACCTTCGAAGGAGGAAACATTGCGCTTCTCTTCACCTCAAGCACGTTACCTGCACATTACTTTTTATCTTAGTATTTTGGCACACATCTCAATATACAGCACTCCCGTTTGCTGGTTGTCACCCCGCGGACAACCTGATCCCTTTGGAACGCTCTGTACAGGGTGGAGCAAGATTACATATTGGTGATATGTTATTTTGTTGGCATTTCGAGACTAGCTCAAAAACCGTGTTGGGGGTAGGCCGAATGCGCCATACATTCTCATTAAATGAACTTCAGTATATTTGTGTACACTGTGATAGTGGTGATGGATCATCACCACATAAACATGATGCTTATATAAACCTTCACGAGTATGGTTGCATTCACTTTTGGTCTCGTCTATGCCTACAAATAAAGCTTCTACTCAGCTCGTCGAAGACATAACAAATGGCGATCAGGAGTTCAAGAACCCCGCCAGTTCAACGACGGAAGGAAGGTTGCCAGTCAACGATCTGCTGCAGATGATGGCCACACAGCAGAAACTACTAGTCGATCTCCTGCAGAAGATAT